ATACAATTCACATCATTAATGTATGCACCCATATTATATATTTACAACTCATTTGGAATATAATTGTGGAACTCTATAATCTACGGTCCTTTTCATTTACATGCTTAATACAGCTTTTAATAATTTTTAAAAGTTCTCAACTCGGAAATTCCGATAATATATTTTGTACTCTTTCTTTGATGAGTTTAACAATACTAGAAATAATGATGATCGATATCTTACTCTAATATGATAGACAATTGAAGATCAATTACAGCATGCAAATGATAAATTTTCCAATTCTATGTGAAACTCTATTGTTCGAATAGTTTTTTTTAATCCTTTTGTTGTTTTGAATATTTTTTATTTCTTTAATATTAGTTTTAGTTATTATATAATATAATATATTTTGCAGTTATTTGGATTCATTTTTACTTATTATGTAATTAATTTTTGCAGTTTTTATTTTTTTTTATATTTAGAATGATATTAAGTAACCTTTTAATTTTTTTATTATTAATTTAAATTATATAACTAACTTTATTTTTTAGTTTTAAGTGTCTATTGTTTAATATTATTTTTATTTATATGCAATAATATTAATAATTTAGATTTTAATATTTTTTTAGAGTTTTTATTTTCAATAAGCTTTAATAAATTATCTTTTGTAGCTTTTAAAAATTTTTTTTTCTAATACTATTATAATGCAAGAATATTAATAATATTATAATTTTAATTTTTTTTGGAGTTTTTATGGATGATAGCTTGGTAATAAATTAATAAGTTAGCTTTATTTAATTATAACTTTAATCTTACACTTTCATTTGTTTTATTTACTATACTTTAATTAATAACTGCTGACCCATCACCTTGAATCGGACCCACACTTGAACTTAAATGGCTGCTCGTAAACTTTTATGAAACCTGGGTCCACAATCAAACAAGACTCGAGCCCATACATTCATATCATCATTGTCATACATCAGACACAGGCCCTCTAGGCCCATCATTATTTGTGGATCAAGTATCATTTCGAATTACTTTCATCAAGCAGCAATCATCACATTGCCCTTTACTTAGCTTTCTTGATTGATTGCAATAATTTGAAAATATTGAGATTGTGGCTAACAAAATACAGAAAATTAACTGAATGTGACTACTTTTCTAAAATAATACTTTTATCCTTTTTTTCCTCTCCATTTTGATTAAAATATATAAAAAAAATTTATTTTATGGGCACAATTCTTTTTCCTGCATGATTTTTATAATTTCGTCCCAACGAGTTCACGATTTGAAATATTGTGCATATTTCAAACACCCTTTGTTTTATTGGAAATTGATTCATCAGTCTTTGCAAAAATCTAAATTCTGTATCCTAACCTACGAAGAAAGTGAAATGAAGAAAGTGCTTGCAATTTTTTCGATAGAGCACAAATTTAACACTTCTTCTTGCATTAATTGATTTATTGGATAAAGAGAATATGATGACATAATTGATTTTTAAAATCATTTTAAAAATTTATTTTTTCAGAAAAATATTTTTTTATTATTTTTAATTTTAATATATTTCATCTTTTTTAAAAATATTTTTTAGCATGTTTTTTACTATTAAGGATAGAGAAAGATTCAAGTTAAATATACATTTATCACCAAATTAAATGCATAATTTTATTAATATTATTTTTATTTATTAAATGCAATAATTTTAATAATATATTTTATTTATATATTTATTTTAATAAATATAAAAAAATTATGTAGCATAATATAAATAAAATTATGTAGCATAATATAAATATAATTAGTATTCATTATTTATTTTTGCAAAATTATTATTTCAAAGATATTTTAAAAAAAAGTAAATGAATTTTAAATTATAAATTTATTTCATATATGAATTTGTAAAATTCAATTGAATTACACATTTTAAATTAATCATATACAACATGAATAATTCATTCACAAATAAATTTTATATTTTGAATTTATTTATATTAAATGGAGTGTTAACGTAATGTATTAACCATTTAAAATTAAAAAAAATTTAAATTATTTGGTAATGTATTAACCATAAGTTTTAGCATGTCGACATGTAATTCAAGGGTAAACGAGGCTCGGTAGCTTGGGCTTTTAGCCTGGCATTCTACTCCCATTCTCGATGGTTAGAATTAGACAGCCATCATAATCAAAAAAAAAAAAAAAAAAAAAAAAAAAAAAAATCATTGTTTTTTTAAGTAATTTTGCAACTTCAAATCCCTTATTTTTCTTCTATGCTACTCAAATGTAAATCTAATTTTCCACATAGAGCTTAGTTTAGCGAAGTTCTTTTATAAGGTCAGGCCCATTTTCATACACTGCAAATTGGCTGCCCATTAACAGTTAGTAACCATATAACCAGTTAAATAGCCCATGTGGGTCCATAGCCAGCGACCTTCTGGTAATTTATACAAGTCGCTCACCGGCTGAGATAATAGAATATTTTTCTTTTTTTTTTTTTCTTAGTATTGATGGGAAAATTCAAATTTATATCTATTGACAGATTCTACGTTTACTCGTTGCTAGAATATGGCTTTGTGTGCGGTGATACAAGATTTAGGTTATGTTTGAAAGCATAATTTTTTTTTTTCATTGGTGTGTAAACGTTCAAGTTCATTGAATATTGAACACTAATAAATTGATAAGTAGGCCACAAATACAATCACATCTTCCAAAACTTAAGAATATACATGTGTAAAATACAAGAACTGAAGATGAATCTGAACTGCATCGAATCTATTAAAAGGTTACGCAATTGATGTTTCCATAGCTATTTCTAGGTTAAAAATAGTTGAGTAAGGCTACAAAGCTGGACTTTCCAATTTTAGCCAAGTTTAGAAGCAACAGCACATGGAAATTGGCAAATATATATTGGAAATGTGGCAAATATATATATATATATAATATAATATATATATAATAAATATATATTATACACATATAAAGAAAATATATATACACATATAAAAAAAAAACCCTCAAAGCTCAGTAACTTGTCATATCAAGTTGAAATGGCACTGCACTGCCCACCACCAGTCTTCTCCTTCATCTCCACCACCACGACCACCACCAGAACTAAAAGCTGGGTTTTGCCTTTTTTTTTTTAAAACAAAAAAAAATTCCCATAATTGTCAAGAAATATCCTTTCCTTTCCTCCAATTGCCTGCCAAAATGACTAAAACTGTCTCTAGGCATTGAGACAAGCAAGCAGCAGGCTTCAAGAAACAACACGAAAAAGAAAAGAAATCAAGACATAAAATTAAATTAAATGATACTAACACTTTTGTTGTTGCTGGTGATAGATAGTGACTGTAATATTGTCTCCCCTTTTCTTTGGCTTCTCCTGACGGGAAGCTTCTTTACTCTTTCCTTATTCGTACGGATCAAAAGTCCTTTCCTTTAAAAAAAAAATAAAAGAAAGAAAATCATCAGTGACTTTCATATGACACAATAACACGTTCATTTTCTTGTGTTGCGGTTCATGTAAATACACCGTCTTTGTGTGTTTGTGTATGGTACCATCATGTTTGTTATCCAAGAAGCAAGAATAAAGGTTTCTCGAGAGGTTTTGTTTGGGACATCTCTTTCCCTTTCTTTCTTTCTTTTTCTCTTTATTTTTTGTAATATAACTCAGAAAGTTCGCCTCAATGGGAAATTCAAAGATAATATTTTATTTTTCTTTCATTTTATAATTTCCATCAGTTAATATATCATTAAACTACTTCAAGCTATAAATATAGGATTATTCAAAGTTGATTTATGAATTTATTAGACAAATTAATCATCTATTTTTCTATTTAAATATGTAGAGCAATTAGGAAAGGAAACTTAGAAGAAAACTGATTCTCTGTTATGTAGCTAATACCTTTTTTTTCCCAAAGGGGAGGAGCAAGATTCCAGGAGACTACAAGCAATGACATTGATGTTATGCCTCAACCAAAGGGTAACCAATTCCAGTACGAGGACCATCAGCAAGCTTAGCAAAGAAATCCACATAAAAATTTCCCTTCATGATATATTATACCAATTTGACAATCTCATTCCAAGTCCAGAATTCCATTTGACTCTTAATGAATAATAAAGAAAAAAACTTTAGAGGTACAATTAATTAAGGTTTTTATGTCCATCAAAAATCACATTCAAATCTTAATATTTCTTTACATTTTCATAACTTCTGATTATATATATTAACTTCTGATTATATATATATATATAATATATATTATATATATATATATAATATATATATACTATGTTTCTGAATGGACAAAAGTATATATGTTTCTGATGGAAAATAGTAAAAAGTTAATATGTCAGTATTATATAAGTACCATTTCATTAATTTTGGAAAACCAATTTTTACAAACAATATGCGAGCATTAATGATCCAATTACTCGCATTACAGGAGCTTAATGTTTTAATATGAATATTCCTTCTATTTCCATTAAATAGGAAAAAGAAAATAAAATATCTTAGCCTGAACAAAGATGTAAGAATTGAGAGGACAAGTCAAGGGGAAGCATTCAAGAAAGTCCTCTCTCTCTCTCTCTGTATAACCCTATTTTTTAAAGTAACCCTAATGAGGATTGTTCACGTCAGAGAGTTTTTAAAACTCAATTTGTAGGATGCATTTTTTCATTATTAAACATTAATTTGCTGAACGGCTTTCACCAGCATCCTGATAGTATCAAAACACTATATGTGCTTTGCAAAACGACATTTTTTCTTGGCCATAGCTAAGTACTTGTTTTATGTATATATACAGACATAAAAGAGTGTTTCTTAATGGTACAAGCTACTTGTACCATGCACACGCCTACACAACACCTCTCAGGAACCCTTCAAGAAGAGAACCTGTATTCAGATTTTAGACCTCCTGCTTTTCTTGAGAAGCTTTTACCTTGAAAAGGAAAATCTAAATATTTCACTACTCCGATAAAACATGGTCTAAATAGAAATTTAAATGGAATTACCCTGACAAATATATCAATAAAAATAAATAAGGAATCGATCATTCCATATAAGAAGCAAATCATGAACTAGCACAACAATGCAATTTTTTATCTTAAACCTCCAATATATATAATAATAATAATAATAATAATATAATAATAATAATACTATATAATGAACAAGGGCCATTAAATGAAAAACTCCAATACCCATAATATAAAAATCCTACGTCAGTTCTCTCTCTGTCTGATCCTTTGCTTACAGACTGCAATAAGGTCCCATCTTGTGTCAATTCTCGTACCCAGTTTAACAAGTCAAATTTCTCGTCTCCACATCATAATCATCTTCGTGGATCCTCTTCTTCCTGCTGCTTGGTAGACCAACTAAACAAACTGTCAGTATTTGTTTAATTAATTAAATAATTAATTATGATAGCTCAGTCTTGCTGGCTTTGATGATGATGATGATGATGATGATGATGATGATGATCTCCTTTATTAACGTTCAATCCATAATTCATCCACAAATTCTCTGTCCCATCACTCATCAAGAACCTAAAGCAGCTATCATTCACTACTGCTGCATTAGAATTTGCAGTTTCTTGATTTTCTTGTTCATTAATCTGATCAATGTAACCTGATGCTCCAGCATTATACATTGACTGATCATTTCTTGGATAGTAACAACCATTTCTCGAATTATTATTCTCCTTTCTTTTCTTTGCGACTTTTCTTGAATAATTACTGATACTACTTTCCCATTTCTCTTTGCACATTATTGCACTTCTATGATATCCCATACAAACCATCTTTGCTGCTATTTCTTCCCATAGTGCTTCTTCTTCTTCGTTTTCCTTTTCTTCTTCTTCTTCTTCCTCATTTTGAGCAAACCTTGACTCAATGCTACTTTTCAATTGCATTAGTCTTGTCACTTCTTCATCAGTCCAATTACCACATTTTTCATTTCCACTTTGGCATTTTTCACTTTGATTTTGAATTTCTTTTCCTGTTAATTTTCTCAAAGTATCCATTAAAGCAGCATCGCGAGCTTCGATCCATGCTCGCTCTTTAGCCCAAAATTTGTGCTCTCTATCTATTCTTGCAGCTTCTTGTTGTCTCCATTCTTCTTCTCTAGCAATTCTTTCTTGTTCTTTTTGTTCTAGAGTCTGCGTCAATTTCTCTAACCAAGCTTCTTGCCTATGAATTAACTTTCTCATTTGCGAATCAATAAATTCTTTAATCTTTGCTTTCCAACTCTTCCCATCTCTTCTCTTTCTTCTCTTTTCAATTGAGTCATTCTCCATCAATGTAGCTGTGCTTAAATTATTATCCTCATCAGAAGAACAGGTGTCGAACTCAGAGGAATTTGAGAGACTAAGACTATCACAAAGCTTATTTTGAGAGTGAAAGTTGGTTTCTTGATTATTACTTTGAGTAGTACAAGTGGTGTGAAATGGAAGATTAGTGTTATTATTAACAAAATGAGTTTCAGGGATTGAAGCAGAATTGCTTGTTTCTCCATAAAGAGCTTCAAGTTGTCTAAAGAATCTATAGTGCTTACCATCTTGTCTTCCTGCTTTACCTTCTTTAGTCTTCTTGTAATATTTGTACAAGTTTTCAAATTTTTCTCTGCATTTCTTTCCACTCCTTTGATATCCATGCTCCTCGCACATTATCCTACATTAAGAAAATAAAAAGTGAAAAAAAATTTTTTAAAAAAGATCAACAAACCCTAGCTAGATCGAAATGTGAAGTACCCAATGAAGTTCATGTGATAATGTGCTGAGCAAATGCTAAATATATATATGTTTTGCTAGTCAGTTAGTTTTAGTTAGCCCAATTTAGCATATAGGTAACTATTAAATTCGCTAAACAAAGATAAAAAGTGGGTGAGATAAGGTTCCTATTACTATCAGTCGATGGGCAGCTAATAAGTATCTAAAAGGTCAGCCATTTTTCAGGAAACTTGCACCAGAAAGAAGGGTACAGATTTTCAAACTGAAAAACAAGTCAGGACTGAACCCTTATACAATAACCCATTTGAATTCAACAAAAAACCACAAAATGAAGTGAAGAAATATAATAATAATAATAATAATAGCACCTGAGTCTTTTGTTACTGATCATGAGCAGTCATTTTCTTAGTCAAAACCTGTGAAAGTGAAACGAAATTTTCTCCAAAAAGGTTTCTCAGGCAACACCAGCAAAAGAAAAAGAAAAATGACAAGCCTTTTTTATATTTTTTAAAATAAAAACTCAAACTTCCTCAGCTATTATTATCATTATACACAATCAACATGAAGTGAGAAAAGTTTTAAAAAACTAACAAGTGATTTTTTAAGAATATTGTTCCTCAATGGAAGAGTGAAGCAACAGTTAGTAATTAAAAAAAAAAAAAAAAAAGCCAACTAAACAAGTGATTTTTTAAGATATTGTTCCTCAATGAAGGAGTGAAGCAACAGTTAGTAATTAAAACAAAAAAAAAAAAAGCCCCAAAAATTTGAAACAAGAAAAAGAAAGAAAGTAGTAATTAAAAAAAAAAAAAAAAAAAGCCCCAAAAATTGAAACAAGAAAAAGAAAGAAGTAGTAGTAGTTGAATAAAGATATTAGCTAGGGTAATATATAGAAAATACCTAGAAACTTCATCCCATAAAGGACCCTTTTGATTAGCTTCTTTAAACTTTGAATCAAGACGAGATCTGATCTCAAGAAGTGTTAAGGTCTCTTGTCGAGGCCATCTTCCAGTCCCACCATCACAACCACCAAAGGATGCAGCTTCTGCTTCCAAACCACTAAGTGTAGGTGTAGCAGCAGCAGTAGCAACAGTGGTGTTTCCACTACTACCAGTAGCTCCCCCACCAGAAGGAGGAGGAGCCGCTACCGCCATGCAAGGAGGACCAGCAGCAGCAGTAGACTCAGAATGAAAATCGTGTAAACCACCGCCACCTCCACCACCACGAGGCAACAGCATCATCATATCATAGTGGTGGGTCTGCGGTTGCAGATTCCGGTAGAGTTCAGTTGGAGGTGGGTGGGGTTGTGGGATTGATGGGAAATGGTGGGTAGGTCCACCGCTAATGAATTGGCGGAGATCTACAGTGTACTGATTATGGTGAGTGTGATCTTCCATTTCCATTGATTCTTGAAAGGAAGAGAAGAGAAGAAAAGAAAAGAAAGATAAAGACTTTGAGAGTGAGAGAGAGAGAGAGAGAGAGAGAGAGAGCGGCAGAGTCGGATCGTGTCGTCCACGTAAAAGGTCGAATTTATGCACAGGACATTGGTCCCAATGTCTGTAACTTCGGGTAACTACGTATACCTCACTCCCTTATATGTATGTATTCAGGTATATATATATATATATATATATAGAGGAAAAATTTAAATGTGAAGAAAGGAAACAAAAAATCCAGTTGCTTCCTTCCATTTTTAATTCAGTTTGTCTTGTCAAAAAACACTCTTTAATCTTTATTTTATTTTATAGTTTGTTCATCTACATATTTGTGAATGCAAATTAAATTTACTTTTGTTAATTAATGAATAATTAAAATTATGAACTTGAAATTTAAGAGACATGCTGTTAATTTTATTTTGTTAAATAGCAATTACAATTTATATGTTTTATAAATCGAGTTTGTTGAGTATAGGAGTTTATAGGGTTTTTTAATCCTTTTTGCAATGCTGGTATTTTGAAGTTTCGAGTGTCACTTTTTCATTTTAAATTAAAAATAAAAATATGACGTAATTAATAATAACTTTCAGAAAATTCATTCAACTTTATACTATTTTTGCACTGATACAATTATTGAAGGTAAAATCGATAAACCAATAACTCTAATAAACATATCAAAATCAAACATTACACATTTTGTCTAAATCAATGATCAAGTCATTTGAGTTCGAAAATTTGCATTTCAAAGATTGATTTCATTGTGCGAGTGAAAAAGCTTGAATACTCAAACAGTCAAATCAAGGTTGGAATCTTTTTTTTTTTTTTAAGGAGAAGATATTCCAAGATGACTAATTTTTTTCTCTATAACAATTGATGGATAACAAACTTGACTTTCAAGTTCTTTTCTACATTTTGAATGGTTGAAGATTAAGTTGAAGATGAGATAAATATTGTAACGCTCGAAATTTTATATAGGATTTATTTTGCGTTTAAAGTTATGAATTTTATTATCATTAATGGTGTATGGAGGGGCCCAGGATGGCCGCCTTAGCAAAAATTCTTTTAAAGAATTACCCCATACAAATATTTAAATTTTTTAATTTACTTTTTAAAATAATAAATATTTTTAATTTCATCCCTTGAACTTTTGAAAATTTTTTTAGCCCTCTTAACTTTAATTCATGCTCTGCCACTGAACGTCATTCACCTCTACACACTAATAAAAATAGTATTTTGATGTTTTTAGCCTTTGCATGTAAAATATTGATTTAATATAATAGTGTATAACTTTTGGAACAACTTTCACATTTATCAAATATCCAATAAATGTTTAATTGATATGATTTTACAAGTTGAAATGTCCAATAGAAAATTTTGCATTGAAGTATTTAATATGTGTAATTTTGTATTCAATGAGCCAAATCAAACATTGTAGGTTTCATAAAATTTTTTATGTAAAGTACATATGTGAATTCATACATTTGACTAGATTTAAATCTTAGTTTTAGCCCTTAAAACTTTATGGCAATGTATCTGTCAAAGACTCAAATAAACCAAATTTGTAACGATAGTTTATAAAAAGCTAAATGACCAAAAAAGTTTAGACTTGGTTTGTTTCTGTCATTTTAACTTATTCTTTTAATTTTAGCAATTATTTTTGTTTCCAATTATAGTCTCCGTCTTGTGTCCATTAAGAGATTGCTAATGTTAATATTAATCAGTGGAATCTACATTTTGACACATTAATGTCATATCACCATTTTGACACACAAACTTTAGGCTTTTTGGTCATTTAGCCTTTTAGAAAAATTTAACCGGAATCAAACCGTGAAATTAATGTACTCAAACTAACCAAATCTAAGGAATGTGATTTGGTTTGGTTTCAACAAGTTCAGCAGCTTTTAGTGATTCATGTATTCTATAAACATGTTATATATATATATATATATAAATGGAAAAGAAAACAATTTGCATTCCTTTTTTTATTCCATAACAAAAATAAAAAATAAATTTATTTAATTAAACAATTTTATAGTAATTTTTACATCTTAATTTTTTATTAATTCATTAAATAAACAATTTATTGATTTAGAATTGAAATGTAATTTTTTTTATCAGCAAATAAGTTTCTTAATACTATTTGATAAAAGAAAATCGGAAAAAAAATTTAATTAATTCAGGTATTTAACACACACCGATAGGCTTATCCAATACACCCAAACTAAGACCTGAATCGGTTAAATAAAATTCGGAAAATAACTAAAAACAATTAGGATAAACTTGAATCCTTTACTCTTGAGGTAAGAGTAAATAAATAAGACCCACAACATTATAGTCAAGCAATAAAACTTTCTATACCATTCAAATCTTTCTTGGCTAGGAAATCTGTGAAAGATTTTTAGATATTCTGATGTGAGCAAAACAAATATATGAACACAATAACCAATATAGAATTGAAATGTAATTACTACTAGCCATATTTTTTTTTTTAACACTTACTATTACAAAAATTATCAAAGATTATGATTTAATCCTTATATATATAATTTGCACAGAATGTGGACTAACATAGATTTTCCATAAATAATTATATAATTTACGTATTCGATAACAGTTTTTTTAGGTAGTTTTTAGCGTTTTGGCTAAACACTATTTTTTATAGTGTTCAACAACATATTGATTGAATTAGTTTTTATAAATTAAGATAAGTTTTATGAAAAGTTAACCTATATAACGTTTAACTTTTAACTTTTTATGAAAAGTTATTAAAATAGCTAATAGCTAAACGCTACTAAAGGAATTTTTCACTTAGTACATATGTGTGTGTGTGAATATATATATATATTATTTAAATTTGTTCAATTTGAATAGTTTTGACCCCAAAATTATAACATAATCAACGTAGTTTAAATTTTCAAGTTTTACAAATTGAATCCAACTACCAATTTTTAAAACCACTATAAAAAAGTTAAGGAAAAAAAAGGTCACTTAGATATGTAATTACTTACGTTAAAAGGATTAAAAAAAGATCACTTAGATAAGAAATTAATTAATATTTTCGATGTACATTCTCGACTATAATTATATACATTTACTTTTATTACTTTAAATGAGTTTCATATGAAATTATTTACGAATGCAGATTGCATTCAACAGTTTTCTGACCATTTGAATCATTACATATATATATATATTACTTTAAAATGAGTTTCATAATGAAATTATTTTTACGAATGCAGATGCATTCAACAGTTTTTTTCTGACCAATTTGAAATCATTAACATATTATATATATTTATATATATATATATATATATAGTATAGAGAGAGAGAGAGAGAGAGAGAGAGAGACAGAGAGAGAGAGAGAGAGAGAGAGACACACCCAATATTGGTATTCTCCTTTATCTTAAAATAATAGATTAATGTATTTATAAATTGTGATTCAATTGGTAATACAGATTGGGCATATGGAAAAAATTGTCAGATTCGATTCCTACTAAATACAGCTGTAAAGAAGGACGAAGAGTCTTAAGTGATAAGTTCCGAACCACATTAGGTGGTCCCTAGTAATAGACTGATGGTTTACACAAAAAAAAAAGAATTTTTTTTTTTTAGTTCCCATCCTACAATTAACCTAGACCAGTATTGAATGCAGAATTATAAGTTGAAAGTTAAGAGTTGAAATGTCATATTTAAATTTGAAGGAACAAATTAAATAATTTTTCAAATTTCAACAACAATAATAAATTTCAAATTTCTAAAATAATAATTCAATTAAATTGAATAATAAACTAAAAATAAGAATTCCATTGGAGTGTTCTCCATTAGATAGATAAATAGAAAATGAGAACTGGAGAGAGTGCCAGAGGCTAATGAATGAGATGACACGTGGTTAAACGACGAAATTTAGTACAGACAGAGGCCTGTATTTTGCTGACGCGTGTACAGTCCTTTATAGGATTCTGCCTTTTTGACCGTCCCTTCCTCCTCTCTCTTTGTGGGACTCCTATTGTTTTTTTGGCTCCTTCTAGTACTATCCACATAGAGGGACACTTCTTCCAATGCTTAACGGCATGGCGTTTCCGATATAAGGAGTCTCGCATTCCTCAGTGCGTTGCTTACAATTAGTTCAGTTAGTAAAATTAGACTTACTTATTAATCAAAGTTAATTTAATTGGAAAGAATTCCGAAGTTTTGAAATATTTTTCTAATTTTTAAATTTTTAACTTTTAAAAATTTTTCTTTACCCCTTAATTTTGAAATTTGACTTCACTCCCACACCTTTAAAATCCTAAAAACTATATTACTATTAGTAAAAATAATAATATCAGCATATTCATAATTTTAGTTACTTCCTCTGTTTCATTTTCATAGCAAAAATATAAATTTTATCTTATTCCATTTAAGTGCCCATTCAGGATTTTGAGATTATATTAATTGTATTTTTTAATTTTTATCCATATTTATTGGGTGTGATTAATTTATTTTTATATTTACATTTAAGAAGGATAATTTAGACATTATATCATTTATTTTTAAAAAATTAATTAATTTCAATCATTTTCTTAAATATTAAAAAAGAGTAAATATTAAAGTGGAATAGAGATAATATCATAATATTTTATATTAGTATTAATTAAATATTTTGTACTAATATATATGAATATTCAATAAATATTTCATAAGAATAGTGCAAGGGGCTATTATTGCACAGCCAGAGATTTATTACGAAGATTACCGTTTGAAATAGTGCATGTATACGTGATACTTTGGCTGCTTTTGACTTCTTTGCATTAATTGGCCAACATTTTTATTCCCCACTAACTCCTAATTGCGATGAGGAAGAATATACTTAGTTTAATTTGTATGTGACAAAATTTTTACTGCAGCTGGATAAAATGTATAAAATTACCGTCTTATACCTGGTGAGAGCATTTTAAACATTCTGTTCCACTATAGTAAAAATTATATCATGTGTAAATTGGGTCATTTAGTTCGACTGTTGTAATAATTATAGAACTGATCAACAATATTAACTATTAAATATCTTATTTGTACATATGAGGTTTTCATTGTAAATA